AAACCTAAGGAATGTAATGCTTAACTAATTAAATATTAAAGGATAAAATTAAAAAAAAAATTATGCAAAAGGATCTAAGATAAAAAAAAAATAGCAATTAAAAGAATGAGAGTTAATTTTGAAATAAAAAATAATTTAGGCAAAAACAAATTTTTTAATGGAGGGCTAAATTGAAAATAAAAAAAAATTAAAATTAAAAGAACGATGACTAATTTTTTTTTTTTTTAAAAAAATTCAGCATAAACTTGAATTGAAGAATGAAATCGAAAATCATAAAAAATTTTATGAAAAAATTAAGAAAAAATTAAAAAAAATGATGAAATTAAAAAAAAAATTATATATGATAAATTAGAATTGAAGGATTAAATAAAAAATAAATAAAAATTTAACAAAAGCACTGAAAAATAAAAATAAAAGAATAAATATTAAAATTAAAATATCAAATATCAAAAAGAACAAATTGCCCAGTCACCATTGATGCCATACCGGCAGAGAGAGGAAGAAAGGAAAAAAAAATAATCGATGACAAACTACCCTACTGCCACCGACGTTGCATCAAGAGAAAGGGGACTTGGTGGTGCATCTAAAGACATAATAAAAAAAAGGGGTGTTCGGGCCAGCTTACGCGCACCACGACTAATCCCCACGGCCCACTGAACACCCTGCAAACCCAGCAGGCAGGTAAGGCAGCGCGGGGCTGACAGGCATGCAACTCCAAGGCTCGAACCCGTGATAGCAGAAGGCGCAAGGCGCCATTCCACCGCTGGGCCGTTGCCTTGGGTGCAGAAAAAAAAAAAAAAAAGATATTTTTTTTGAGTGGAAGGCTTGACACTCTTCACTCAAAATGCCTCCCATGCACTGGTATATGTTCTCACGTGTTAGCAACCTTTTCAAATTAATTAATATTTAATTGATATAAAAAGATAAAAAAGTTATTTAATTACCCTAGTAATTACAAAAAAAAAATCTAAGAAAAGGACCAAAACACCCCTGGTCTTATCCAAGAGCATACTTGTTAATTTATTGTACATGATTGATTAATGAAAAGATATTTATATTTTTTTGTATTGTTTTATAAAAACAATTCTAGAGCAATTAGATATTTTATTATGCTTAAAAAATAAAATAAAAATACAAACAGTTCTTTAACCACAAATATCTCATATGAAAAAGACAAAATATCTCTAGCACGGAGTCAATTGATTCTCAGCGCCCCATATTTTTACTTTTATTTATTTATTTTGGAAGTAAGTAAAAGAAACAAAGCATTCAAAATTAATTGCCGCAACTTGCCCACGTATCTTAGTTGTTGGGTTATCTTGTAAAATTTGGTTTATATTTGTCTGGATTAACTGCATGTCAAAATAAATTTCTAAAATAAAATTTTAAGTTTTGCATCGAGGGGCTTGACCTAGCGGTGGAAGGGGCTTTTCTCTTTCCACTGTATATAGGTTCGAGTCCTAACGTACACGTCTGTCATCCCCGCGATGCCTTACATGCCTACTGAGTTTGCAAGATATTCAGTGAATCATGGGGATTAGTCGTGGTGCGCGTAAACTAACCCGAACACTCCACGTAAATTAAAAAACAAAAAAAAATAAAAATAAATAAATTCTAAGTTTTAGATATTTAAGAATTCAATATATTCATTCCATTCGATCGAATTCTAGTAAAACTTTTATTTTTTAATTTATATATATATATAATCAGAAGTCTTTTTGTATGTATTATTTGAAAAAATACTATTAGATTTTTTGTTTGTTTTTAAATATGGTTATAACATTAATAAATGCTTTTTTTTTTCAGCCCTTTGCATTGTTTTTTTTTTCCCTCAAGTTTTACCTGTAGCTTTTTTGCATACGTCAATTTTTATTTTTATATAATTAAGTAAAAAATAATTTTTTTAAAAAAATATTATTAATCAAATCAATTATAACATTAATAAATGCTTTTTTTTCAGCCCTTTGCAATGTTTTTTCCTCCCTCAAGTTTTAGTTATAGCTTTTTTGCATATGTCAATTTTTATTTTTATATAATTAAGTAAAAAATATTTTTTAAAAAAAATAATATTATTAATCAAATCAAATTTATGATTGATTTAGAAATTTAATTAGTTAATCTAAGTTGATTCAAAATATTATTATTTTATTATATAAAAATAACTCCATCTTGAAAAAAGTTTTTTCTTGAAATCAAACTGATTTTTAACATAATTATAACTAAATTTATAAAGTTAAAATCATATTGAATTAATTATCACCTAGCTAAATTTAAAATCTAATTAAACGAGAAGTTGGGTTGAGGTCCTTTAAGTTTTATCTTTTAATCTCGATAGTTTTGATGGCGTTGCAATAAATTCTCTCTTAACAACATGCAAGTTATTTTTAAATTATCAAAATTTGTCTAAAAATCAGTATTCCAATTAAAAAAACCAAGTAAAATATAAAGAAAGTTGGTAAGGTAAAAAGATTTTAGATAGAGGGGGATATATTTCTCATGCCCGAGTGTTTTTTACATTTGTTCTTATTGCTTTAAACTTTTAAAACGTGTTGACAACCCTTGTGTTGTTTTATTTTTTATTTATTTCTGTGTTAAAAAAAAAACTCATCTAACCCTTAGCTAAACATAGTTCAACTATCTAGTGCATCCTAAAATTAAAATCGAAGCCACGAGATGGATTGAATTTATTTATGAAATAGATGATTCCAATTGATCAGTGCAAATATTATTTCTTAGAAAAGGTATAAAAGTATCCAACAAAACACACAGATAGCAGCAATCTCACTTCACTACATCCACTACTTCTGGTTTGGCCCTGCAGGTGGAGGGGGGGAGGGAAAAGAACAAATGAAAAGAAGCATGGACGTGAGGATTCTATTGCCTTTATTCTATCAAGCAAAAAAGATATACAACCTATCTGGGGATATAGCTCAAGTTACTAACGAACAAAAGAATATGCACTTGCATGCCGACTAGTGTGGTCTCTGTATAGTTTAAGGTAAACCACAGTACTTGAATATAAGATCACCACAAAAACTGACATTGAAAGGTTTGTTGCCCTGCTGCTGCTGCTGTACAGATGTTTCAACCGCTAAACATAGAAGTAGGTAGATGTCTCTGTTGCATTCGCTGTGTCTCTGCAAAGAATAGATCGAGCTTCAATTACAGAGCGAGGGGGCTCTAGATCCTTCTCTTGAAGTGAGTTTCCTAGCAGTCGCTGCATTTGCGAAGCAAATGTGTCATCCAGTATCTGCAAAAGAAAACCATGAAGAAAACTAGCATGTGAGATGGTCAGAATTGACAAATCATGAAATGCCCAGAAATGAACTCCAAGACCTACCCCAAGTGCATAGCAGGAACCATTATACCACACTTTGTTTTCCTTCCTGCTCTCAAGAAACTTCAAAACGATCTAGAACATTACACAGTTAAAGCATCAGGATAGCGGATAGAAATAAAATAACCCCAGTGAAGTGCGGAATTCAGATAAAAATTTTACTCTACCTCTCCCATCCTATCCCAGAATCCACGACATGTTGCGACAAATATCCGGCTAGCAAAAACATCATGCAAATTGGATATACAATCAATGAGCTGTGAACTTAGAATCTGCATTCTTTCACGGACCTCTGCCTCTCCATCTTCTTCCCTTATGTCCTCCAAAATTCTTTTTAGTCGTGTGCTTCGACTAGCTTGCACCTGGAAGAATTGTGATTTCATTCATGTTACAGTTTCCCCTTTTGCATTCTAAAAACACTGACACCACGGCAAGAGGAAGAAGGATCCATAGTATATGAAGAATAACCAAGTAAATTCTCATCAACTAGTAGTATATTATGAGCATGCAAAATTCCATAGTATTCAGGAATAATACACAACATATCCTCAAATTTTAACACCCTATTTCAACAAGATAAGGAACATTGCAGCATGATCAATATTCAACAGCTGCTATATAAAGCTGAATGATTTTCTCTAGTACCGTTCTTTCATATTTTTTTCTCTTCTTTAAATGCAATGTTACCTAATGATCAGGCACAGAATCAATCCCTTGATAGCAAATTGACTATTGACTATTGAATAAATGACCAGCATTACTGATCATCTCAAGGAAATTAGCTTTTTAGATTTACAACTACCACTA